GGGGGGAGGAATAGTGCCCCATCGTTGGTGTCAGTTGGGGGAGGAATAGTGCCCCATCGTTGGTGTCAGTGGGGGGAGGAATAGTGCCCCATCGTTGGTGTCAGTGGGGGGAGGAATAGTGCCCCATCGTTGGTGTCAGTGGGGGGAGGAATAGTGCCCCATCGTTGGTATTAGTGACACAAATGATGGGGCACTATTCCTCCCACTGACACCAATGATACTTACCTTGCTGACCCCTGCTCCAGCCTGGGCTCGCTCTCTCACTTACCTGTCAGCTGTCTTCCTTCTCTGGCCGCTCTCCTCTTCACTCGCTCCGGCAGCTCCCTCGGTCTTCTTTGATGTACGCGCGCTGCCGCTCGGCTCCTCCTCTCCAAGCTCCACCTCCTCGCCGGTGATTGGCCGCCTGTGTGCCTCTCCTGAGCTACAGTTTCCGGTGGCCAATCAGCGGCGAGGAGGAGAGCTGCTGAGCGATCCCGGAGGTGTGGCCAGGTGACAGCAGCGTATCATCCCGCCCACACATCGCCGGAGACTGCAGCGGTGTCTCGGTTCCTAAGACCATCGGAAATATGTGTTTTCCGATGGTCTTAGGCGACCCCTGGGAAATGGTCGTTCGACCCCCAAAGGGGTCGCGACCCCCAGGTTGAGAACCGCTGGTATAGAGGTTTGAAGGAAAGTTATTTTTGATTGGTCCAGTTATGAGGAATATATACGATCATTTGGTATAAGACTGTGTGTATGGGACATGAATGAAGTGTGCATTGATTAAGCATTAATTCTGAACTAATCATAATAAGGGGGACATGTTAAATCTAAATTATGATTCTGCATTTATATTGATGGCAAGCTTGCAAAATATTTGGTTTTTATGATTAGTCATAATTAATATTAATATGTGTGAATGGTCTTTGACAAATGGTAGTATTTACTATTCTTCAATTATAGCCGAGACCAAAAGATATACAAGTTAAGCTGAAATAGTATATACTAGTTGAAGGTTGAGTATACTATATTTAGGCATAAAAGTATTTGTTAGTTATGTCAAGGGTTATTAGAAGTGACTTACTATTACATTATGTATTTTAATAATAATCTGTGTGTATTTAGTATACGTCTCTAACATTGATACATATATAGTTTAGGGATTATACATTGATATGTTCTTAAGCTATATTATTCTTTACGTCATTAGCTTATAATATTATTTACATCAGCATTCATATGTTCCTGTCCATCAAACATCATATGTATAGCATCCCCTTCCTTTTATGAAATGGCTTTGCTAAGCAGTAATAATTTCCATAGAAGGTATTAAGATCACTAACTATGACGTACATTTGCCTCTTAAAAGTCCATGAGACAACGGACAAAGAGACACTCACTCACACACACACTTACAAGCTACATGACTCTTGCATACACACGTCTGAGAAGCTGCAACAGGTGCATACTGAGATCACTTCCGGCTACAATATAGTCACATCCGGCTTTTCCTTCTTTACAAAGTCATTGAGACGGACAAGGACATGGAGTATCGCACATGGCAAGGACAGCCATGACAGATAATGGTGACTCTTTGTTTTAAACTTTCGCTTGTCATTTTTACAATAGTTTTATCTACATGGAACTGTTCATAATACGCTTTACATTGTTATTTGACACCATTGTGTGATAGAATAAAATCACACTTCATTTTTTTTATTTCAATGGCTCTTTCATTCATAATCGCCTCAAGACACTAGAAGAAGTATTATATGTGTCTAAAAATCCAACAGTATGGAACCCTTCGACACACGGACCCCGCCAATGTATGGAACCCTTCGACACGGACCTCCAACGTATGGAGCCCTTCCACACAGACCGCCAATGTATGGAGCCCTTCCACACGGACCGCCAATGTATGGAGCCCTTCCACATGGACCACCAATGTATGGAGCCCTTCCACACGGACCACCAATGTATGGAGCCCTTCCACACGGACCACCAATGTATGGAGCCCTTCCACACGGATCACCAATGTATGGAGCCCTTCTACACGGACCACCAATGTATGGAGCCCTTCTACACGGACCACCAATGTATGGAGCCCTTCTACAGGAATCACCAATGTATGGAGCCCTTCGACAATGGCCACCAATGCAAGGAGCCCTTCGACAATGGCCACCAATGTAAGGAGCCCTTCGACAATGGCCACCAATGTAAGGAGCCCTTCGACAATGGCCACCAATGTAAGGAGCCCTTCGACAATGGCCACCAATGTAAGGAGCTGAAATCCATCAGTAATTAGAAAGCAATCCTGCCTCTTGTCGGTGCAAGTTAATATCAGCTGGTTCAGTCTCAACTGATGGCCTATAAAAAGTTGTCTCATTACCAAGATGTCACACAAAAAACGTCTCATGATGGGTAAAAGCAAAGAGCTCTCCCAAGACCTATGCATACGTATTGTTGCAAAACATACTGATTGCATTGGTTACAGAAGGATTTCTAAACTTCTGACTGTTCCAGTGAGCACTGTTGGGGCAATAATCCAGAAGTGGAAAGAACATCATCTCACCACAAGCCAGCCACAAACAGATGCTCCTCGCAAGATTTCTGACAGAGGACTGAAAATAATTATCAGTAGAGTTGTCCAAGAGCCAAGGACTACTTGTGGAGAGCTTCAGAAAGACCTGGAATTATCAGGTACAATCATTTCAAAGAAAACAATAAGTAATGCACTCAACCACCATGGCCTGTATGCATGCTCACCACGCAAGACTCCCATTTGTTAGAGGGATCAGTGAGCGCTTAAATCTATTCAGCAGCAAAATGCACCAAAAGGAAAGCTGATACCTTCAATAGCATATATAATCAAAAAAGTGCAGTGCTGAAAGAACATCCAATAATATTATTACTAAAATAGTGCAAATAATTCAAATAATTAATAAAGTGCAAAGTTCGTATATATTGTGTGATTATTTGATATCCCCCATATACGATAAATAAAAGTCCAATATGAGTGTGATATATCGTCATTAATTATTGATGTGAAGTGGAAATCCTGTGCTCAGGTGAAGATACATTCCATGTGACAATTATTCCATTTCGGTGAAGTGCAGGGAATATGGTAAAAATACACACCACCAGATGTGCATTTAAAATAAGCAGTACAATATATAAGATGTTTTCAGCCAGAGGTCCCCTTTAAGGTGGAATAGGTGTACAGCCTGGAAAGGATATCCCTCCTCTGGATCCTGGAGCTGCCCTGTAGCTTAGTGTCACATGAGATTCTGTAGATTAATTGCTCAACGTAGAGTCAAAAAGAAGGATGCCCATAGTGTAGTAATGTTAAAACGTGCGTGGCACAAAACGCATCAAGTAGGAGCCGTACGCCGTGACGTCAAGCCGCCGGAGCCTCACGAAGGTCCTGTGGCCATCTTTGATTTTGGCTGGTCAGTGTTTCTCTGCAGCTCTGCTTGTAATGAGATTTCTTCCACGTGGATGACATGTTTTTTATTAAAATAAATACTTAACATTACTACACTGATTATATACGCAAGACTCCCTTGCTGAAGAAAAAGCATGTTGAAGCTCATTTAAAAGTTGGCTGCAGAACATTTAGACAAGCCTGTGAAATCCTGGGCAAAACAAAAACGGAACCCTTTGGATGCCATAATACACACCATGTTTGGAGGTCAAATGGGACTCCACATCACCGCAAAAACCCCATACCAACAGTGAAGCATGGAGGTGAGAATATCATAGTGTGCGGCCGTTTTTCAGCATACAGTACTGGCAAACATCATATCATTGAAGGAAGGAAGAATGGAAAAATGGACCAAAAGACATTCTTGATAAAAATCTGCTGCCATCTACCAGGATGATGAAGATGAAACGAGAGTGGACATTTCAGCAAGACAATGATCCCAAACACAAAGCCAAGGAAACTCACAATTGGTTTCAAAGAAATAAAATAAAGCTGCTAGAATGGCCCAGTTAATCACCTGACTTGAATCCAATAGCAAATCTATGGAAAGATTTAGAGATCAGAGTACATAAAAGAGGCCCACGGAACCTTCAAGATTTGAAGATTGTTTGTGTGGAAGAATGGGTCAAAATCACACATGAGCAATGCATGCCACTAGTGTCTCCATACAGGAGGCTTCTTGAAGCTGTCATTACTAACAAAGGATTTTGCACCAAGTATTAAATAAATTTCAGTTCGCGTGTTCAATACTTTTCCGTGTGTCATTCCATCTTATTACACATAACTTAATTTCTGAATGTATTTGTTTTGGTTTCTTTGTATGTATGGATTGCATGAGTTGTTACCGACGTGTGGTGAAAATTTCATAGCAATAGCACCTTTAAAATATGAAAAATGGTGACGTGTTCAAACTCATTTTACCCTTTGTAATTATGTACTGTATATGGCTGATGCCCCTGAAAGCTGGAAATCACTGCTCCAGGACTGCTTCTGGGTCCTACACAGAGCAACTGACCTGCTGCATTCTGAACAGAGGAGGTCGGCCAGTCAGCAAGGGCGCCAATCAGAAATTGCTTTGCATTTTCTGGATGAATGCAAAGCATTCTTCAGTTGGACGAGGTGAAAAGTGACATCACTGCCCCGCCTCTCCACCTTGTTGAATCAGAGAAATTTTGCATTCATTCGCATTTATTCATTTTCTGAATGTTGCCCATGCTAAGCGGCCGACCTCTTGTGTCCATAATGCAGCAGGACAGCTGCTCAGCATGGGACCCAGAAGCTAGAGGAGTTCACTGAAATAGTGGTGTCCATAACAGTGATTTCTGGCTGTCAGAGGCAATATCTTCCTGTCCACCTTGGCATTCCTTATAAAAATTTCTGAATGCTTTGGCAGGAAAAATCACGTGAACGCTGTGATTGGCTGTCATCATGGTCACATGATCGGGAGCTGATCCCACAGGTTACGATCATTAGCACCTTCCACAGCTCAGTCTCTGTGCTGGGAGTTCAAAGTGAGGTGAAGAAAGATAGTACATACCTCCTCATGCTTTCCAACTTTGCATCCATACTGTTTTGACCATCTTTTAGGTCCTGTAGCTCAGCAGCAACCTTCTGCAGTTCCTCCTGCGATAGGTGAGGGTCTTCAGATTTTACAGAAGACGATATCTGTCAATTAAAACAATATTCTCATTTATGCACACTTCAGTACACACATGGAAGGCCTACTTACTTACAGCAACCCCCCCATGGGCGGACCTGCAGAAGCCAGAGAGCGGTGAGTGCTTAATGTAAACAGCACTTGTGTGAGGTGTATGAACTGGCTGGAGAAGTAGGTGATTGTGGAAAACTAAGGGCAAAAGCTGGTGGGAAGTGGTTGAGGGGGTCACCCAGTGGAGTACAAAATTTAAACATCAGTACTGTCTCGTCCGGTCCATAACTTCTAATCCCCTAGAGTGGAAGCTAAGTGGGAATTAGGATACATTTCAAGGCATAACAAGAATAGCCGGAGGTAGAAAGATGAAGAACAAATCAGCAAAAGGTGTTGGAGTAAAGACACCCAAGACATATACTAGTACAATAAAAAAATACATGCCCCCGCAGAAGAAAAGTCCAGGGAACCAGACCCCTGAGAGGCAAAGGGGAGCCAGTGGAAAATCAGTAATGGGGAGTAATAGTGGAGACCAATCTAGTTTGTCAGTGGAAACAACAGATCTGAGTCAAGGTAAAGAAACGTTAAATATGGACTGTGAGTTGGATATAAGGAGCACAGAAGAAACAGGAGTGGAAGCTCAGATGCCCACAAAAAATGGAAATAGCAGACATGTTTGCAAAGCTAGAACAATCATTAAAGAATGACATGGAAATAATACATAAGGACTTGGGACAAGTACTGTCTCAAGTGGAAGAAACGGAAGGCAAATTGGATAAGCATGCCCAGATAATAACAGAGCTTAAGAACCAATTGGGAGGAAATGCGACATGAATAAAGAAGAATGCGATATAAAGTAGAAGATCAGGAGAACAGAAATAGAAGGAACAATCTGAGGATTCGGGGGCCACCAGAAAGTGCACAAGAAGATTTAAGAGATGTAATGAATACAGTGCTCAATCCACTAATAAACAGACATATAACTGAGAAATTGAAAATCGATAGAGTCCATAGGATAAAGAGACCCCATGGAGTATCCCTGGGAACTCCAAGAGATGTGATAGTAAGGTTTCACTATTTTCAGGATATAGCAAGAATTTGAGAGAAGATGAGAGGAATTCCCGCAATATCATACGATAGGACAGATGTGCAAATCTATGCAGACATAGCGCCAGAAACATTTGCAAGAAGGACTCTGAGACCTTTCTTGGAGCAAATGCGAACATGAAACATCAAATATAACTGGGGTTTTCCTGCTTGCCTGGTGGGATGGAAAGATGGTCGCTCAGCAAGATTAAGGTTTCCAAAAGACCTCCAGGATTTCTGAGAGAAACTAGAATTGCAAGTCCCGGATATCTCAAACTGGACTAATGGGAAAAGGGAGGAACTGGGACTAATACGAGAGGTGGCAAGTAACCTCAGGGAGAAGAGGGCAACAGAAATGAGATGAGGTGGAAAGAAGGAAGAAAGAGCAAGAGAAAGAAGAAATGTACCTCTACAAGACTCTAAAATAAGGGATATTAATAGAGGAGATAGAGGAGGAGGTTGTCCTTTGAAAGACCCAGTTGCTTCTTTTTCACCTGCCCCCCCCCCCCTTTTATTTTTTTCTCCTCCTCCTGCCTCCCCCCCCCTCTCCACCACTCCCTCTTTTTTTTTTTCCACACCCTCTCGCTGTTTCTGCTTGGGGCACCTATTTATAGTACTGAAAAGTGGATGTTGGGAGAAGGTGTATGAGTGGAACATGGGACTGGGCATTTGAGAGTTTTTTTTGGAGGGGGAGGGGGAAGGTTTATTGAAGGCAGGAAAAATAGGGGCAAGACACAGTTCAGAATCTATGCCCTCAGGGAGGAGTTGGAGGTGGGAGGAGGAGGTGTCTATGGACAAGCTGAATGATCGTGGGAGGGGTTAGATGCACAACAGATCCAAGGGTTGGGCAAGGGTCAAATGGTGTTAGGAGGGGGGGGGAGGGTAGGCTAGCAGAAAAGGGGTATCCTGAAACTCTCCGCTGGTTTAAAATTTACTATACAGATTGCTCTCTCTGTGTGACCCAAACAAAAAAGGTTTTAACATTAATAAATGTTTGACAAGAAGGTCATAACTTTTTTTTTTTTTCTTTTTTTATGGTTAAACTAGATGGACTTTTGTCTTTTTTCAGCCAGACTAACAATGTAAGGTAGTTAATTTTATGAATTACAATGTAAAAGGTCTGAATACTCCAGTTAAAAGACATAAGATTACTAGGGAAATGGGGCAACACTCAACTGATATAGTATTCTTACAAGAGACACATTTATCTTTAGATACAAAGGGTTAAATTACAAGTCAAGAAAATACCCCAAACTGGTATTTTTCAGACTCTCCAATAAAAAGAGCTAAAGGAGAGTAGCAAGGAATGTAAGATTTAACTTCTGTTTCTGAAGGGGTACCTATAAGGTCAGCACAGTGGCTAAATGGTTAGCACTTCTGCCTGGCAGTACTAGGGTTGTTGGTTTGAATCCCAGCCACGGCACCTCCTTCCTGGAGTTTGCATGTTCTCCCTGTGCCTGCATGGGTTTCCTCCGGGTACTCCGGTTTCCTCCCACACTCCAAAGACATGCTGGTAGGTTAATTGGATCCGGTCTAAACTGGCCCTTGTATATGAATGTGAGTTAGGGACCCTAGATTGTACTACCCTTGAGGGATAGGGACTGATGTGAATGTACAATACATATGTAAAGTGCTGCATAAATTGACAGCGCTATACAAGTACCTGAAATATATGGCATGGAATGTACACTTGCAAATATTTACTGTCTAAATAAGAACGCAACGGTCTACTTAGCGGAGACATTAAGGAAACTGATAGAATTCAAGAAAGGGAAACTAATTGTGGCTGGGGATTTTAATCTGTGCATGGACCCAAAGATGGATAATTCTTCGCAGGTACAGACGGATGGAGGTAAACGTTTAAAAGCTTTAAAAAAGATGTTACATCAATGTCAGTTAATAGATGTTTGGAGAATTAAGCATCCAGGGGTAAAAGGATTATACATTCTATTTCTCTGTACATGCAGTATATTCCACACTGGATTATATTATGATAAAGCATATATTACTGGAATTGTTGGTTAAACATTGAAGTTACAACATTGTCGAACCATGCACCAGTCACAATAAAGTTGAGAATGGGAGAGGTTTCAGATAAGATAAATACATGGAAATTAAATGAGTCACTTTTAAAAGATCAGGAGACCGAAGAAAGAAGAAAAAGAAATCGAGCAATACTTTCAGTTAAATAATACAAAGGGAGTCTCAAGGGCCACAGTATGGCAAGCCCATAAGGCCAATATAAGGGGTATCCTGATTTCAGTAGGGGCAAAAAAGAGAAAATCAGGCCAAAAAGGTGAGAACATTAATAGAGGAAATACAGGAATTAGAACAAATACATAAAATAGAGAGGGAGGTACACCATAAAATAATCTTAAAAAGAGTTAAATTATTTACTGGAACAGGAGACTAAAAGGGTTTTTAATATGGTGGCAAAAAAAGATACCAATGGGGGAATGGCAAAGACATTAAGGGAAAAGAAATCAGTAAATTATATAGAGAAGATCAGGAATAAATCAGGGGAAATAGTATACCCAACTAAAAAGATCGCTAGCACATTCCAAGAATATTCTAGCCTACTGTATGCAGTTAAACATAAGGACCAAAGTGACCCGAAGGGAGACAGAAGAATGAAAATACAGGCATTCTTAAAAGCAGCGGGATTACCCAGATTAGATGAAGAAAGAGTGGCAATGCTGGATAATCCAATAACACAGGAGGAAATACAAGCAGCATTCAGGAGTACAACAGTGGGTAAGAACCCGGGGCCTGATGGGTACACAATAAGCTATTACAGGAAATTAAAAAATCAGCTAGTGCCTATAATGTGCGAATATATGAATGCATTAGGACAGTGGTTCTCAACCTTCCTAATGCCGCGACCCCTTAATACAGTTTCTCATGTTGTGGTGACCCCCAACCATAAAATGATTTACTCTTTACACATTGGAAATGTGTTGTTCGATGGTCTTAGGTGACCCCTGTGAAAGGGTCGTTCGACCCCCAAAGGGGTCGCGACCCACAGGTTGAGAACCACTGCATTAGGAGAAGGGATCAAAATGAGGAAAGAGATGCTTCTGGCACACATTACAATTATACCTAAAGAAGGAAGAGATGTATCTCAATGTGCGAGATATAGACCAATATCATTGCTGAATATTGATACAAAACTAAATGCGAAAGTAATTGCCAGCAGGATAAAAGACCTAATGCCAGAATGGGTTCACCCCAATCAGGTGGGATTTGTACCAGGGAGAGAAGGAAGATATAACAGTCTGAGATCATTGCTCCTCCTGTAGAAGGGTAAGAAAGAAGTCCCTGGTTATATTCTTCTCAATAGATGAAAAAAAAAGCATTTGACAGGGAAGACTGTGGATTTATGATGGGCACTTTAGAGGTATTAGGTTTAATACCTAAGGAATAAAATGATGCAATGGATAAAAAAATCTATACAGCTACCCTTAAGCAGCAGTGAAGATAAATGATACATTGTCTCAACCTTTTACAATGTATAATGGAACAAGCTAGGGATGTCCACTCTCACCTCACTTGTTTATATTATCCTTAGAGCCCCTCTTAGCAACAATACAGAATAATATAGATATAAAAGCGATACAGGTTGGAGAAACGGAAGATAAAGTTGCGGCATATGCAGATGATCTGTTCTACATTGTAAGTCCTAGACTAACATTACCAATCATGATGAGTATATTAACTAGTTGCCGACCGCAGATAGCCGAATGACGGCTGCACTGCGGCCGGGCAGTTCTGGGTGGACGTCATATGACGTCCTCCCAGAACGCGCTCTCCTGCGCGCCCCAGGGGGCGTGCACCCGGCGATCTCCATGATCGCTGTGTCCTACGGACACAGCTGATCACGTGATGTGGTAAAAGGCCAATCACAGCGTCCTTTCACCACATGATCAGCGGT